AAGCACGTTTCTCATCCTGGTTGTCCTCTAGAAGCACCACGGTCATGGTCAGATTCTGAGTACATTCATTCAATCTACGAAAAATAATTATTTCTGCACTTCAGATACTCCCCGAAGTTGACTTTTATTTTCCCCGGTTAATTACCTATATTTTTTCCTTCACTCATGGTTATTTTGGCACCGTATGTGTTAAGATTGATGTTATATATATATATATATATATATATATATATTGTATGACAGTTTTGTAAACAACGGTTTTGATTGTTGTTTTTGTAGCTCGGGTAGTATAACTTGGTGTTCTGTTGTTCGCCGAGCTTGGCAATTGTATTGCAAACGTTTCATCACCAATCGAGGTGACATTCTCAGTGCAGTAACTGGGTTACTGCATTTGCGATACAATTGCCAAGCTCGGAGAACAACAGAACACCAAAAATATATGTTGTATATATGTATAATCTACTTAAGCTGAAGGTAATGAGTTCTTGTGTATGCTGACACTTTGAGAATTTTTAGTGTTCATCTAGTTTTTGAAACTTTTTGAGACAGACAATCTGAATCAAGGTGAATTCTTTCTCGAATCGGAGGGAATTCGCAATCTGAGTGTTAGTTCACACAAAAGCCCTAAATTGGTAATTCGAAACTGTCAAACTTCGTGAGAAGGGGCCATATTGCTACCTTGTTGTTTCTCTCTCTCGAGACCAAAATTTATATATACTCTGTCCGAAATGTCCATGACTATTCTTCGACTTCTAATTCCATCTCCAGGTCGCCACGGACAACAACGCTTCATTTGTTTGGTTGTCTAATGGCTTGACCGGATTCCGACAAAATCTTCGATAGCGTTGCTTTCTGGACCTCTGCGGTAGCGAAAAATATCAAGTAGCCGTCATTTATAGTCGTTGAGGCAACATGGATCTGGAATCGGTGGACGAATTCCCAATGGGATCGTCCATCAGACGAGATCAACTCTATCTTCGGAAGTTCCATACTAACCATAATCGTAGGCACTGCGTGTTGAAACACACCTCTCCTCCAACATCCCACTTCAGAAGGTGTGTTCTGAACCGAAGTTAGCAGTTCTTCATCATCATCGTCGTCGCACAGCAAAATACCGAGAAGCGAACTTCAATAATCGCTACCAAACCCGCAATGCATATGCATTGGGGGCTGATGGACGGGTATTGCTAGGGTGTCCAACCACTAAGCAGGAGAACGATTACGGTTCTCAACCAAAGCCTTTAATTCTGACAAGAACCTAACCGCAAGGCAGCGGGTGAAGCAAAGTGGGAGCCTATTTACTTGGATCGCTTATTCCTCCACCATTTTTTACCGACGGAAACGCAAATTTCAGTTGAACCCTCAACCTGGAGACTAAACTTCGTCTGACCTCTACCCATTGACCTTCCAGGCATGATTAGATCTCGTGGCTTGATAAAGCCATCCTGTGTAGCTCGTTGGGTCACAGGTGCACAAGCCATCACACCACCTTAAGGTGCAGTCTCGTGGTGATGGGTCAGCAGTGACCTGTTGTACTTTGTTCTTATACGGCGGATGTTCACAAAGGAACATTATGGTTAAGGTCTTTCGGTAGAGAACCTGGTCCACTCTGGCTTCGGCCACAACGTACGACTTTCCCTGCATTGTCTTCACTGAAGGTTGCTTCTGGAAAACGCATTTCCTCTAAGTATCGGAGTCTTGCAACGAGCAACGTTGGGTAGTAGTATAATCCAGACTCGTCGCTTTGGTCCGAGCGTAGCCCTGCGCTGCTCGAGATGTGAAGCAACACCTGGTCGAATGTCAATACGTGCATAAGGAATAACATCGATTCACTATCCACACTGCCAACCATGTAACTTAACGGTGGTAAGAGAACAAGTAGAATTGCTCACGACCGCCAAGCAGTTTAGCTCTAAATTGTATGAAATAGTTCCGTTCACCAGTTCAGCAAAGATGGTATCTTATGCTGTCATCATTTAATGTCGCATCCTTCTTTTGCTCACCTGATCTACTTCTATTCGCCCTAATTAAAACTGGGATTCGAAGTTCCCAGATAGATTATCCAGGATAAGCGTCTTGTTTTTCTCCTTTGTGAAACAACACCAGGGGCTGACCGTTTACGTGTTATACGGGAATTTCGAGTCTATGCGGTGTAAAGTCAAGACTTCAAATACAACGCCTTCAATAATGCGTGATTTATTTATACTAGGCTCTGTGTATTGGCTATTTCGAACATATTTACTATAAAGGCAGTGGTGCAGCGGTTTTGTCGCTGTCCCCGGCGTGCTTTGGACCGTATAGTCTGAGTTTGGAGCCCCGCCACCCAAAATTGTTGGTAGGCAGTTTTGCTGTCGTCCGGTTCAATACCACACCTGACCTAGCAGTGCCTTATGTAGTTCGTCACTCTAAGCCGCGGGGTTTAGGTGACCGAGTCCCATTACTGAACAGCAGGTCATTGTAACTATGGGGTTTATCCAGTCTGCTGTTCATCACACTTAAGAGTGTAATAAAAAAGAGCGTTATGATGGTTCTCATGAGGGTTGGTTATCCTACCATACATCCGCTTTTCCTTTCTTGAGGTGTCCTCTGAAGTAAGTCAACCTACAGTCAAGTTCTCATTCATTCTTCATTTTTGCTTTAAAGTAAGTGTTACTTGTTTGATATCCAAGACAAGGGAGCCGCCCATATGTGAAGGTCACGATAGACTTTCCACGTAGATGAGCAAAATAAATTCGACGATTGATTGATTTAGTTTCGGCACTCTATAGATCCCCTCGTGTGATACCGTGTGCATTATGATCGGATGATCGATGCCCACTTTATAACAAAACAAAACATGTGGATTCATTTTATTTTCATTCATGTTAATACTTCACTCCTACTTGATGACCAATTTGATCACAAGAAATCACAAGAATTGTCTGTATTTGGTTTTTCATCGGTTTCGGTGTTTGACGAGAACAGTTCTATCGGGATGGCCAAAGCTGCACTGGAATGCATTTCCGGATTGAATGTCTACGGAGCTGAAGGCAGTCATTCTTCCGTTCTACTCATCGATATTGATGCACACAGTCGAAATCGTATTATTTTGACCAATTTGCTTCCAAGAGAATCCGCCTCTAAGGTGAGTTATTCCAGTTGACCTTATTCCAGTTTAGATTCCCGCTAAACATCAATTCTGGATATAATGTGCGATGGTTGTAGCTCAGGACGCGGATTTTGGTGTTTTACGATTCTTCTAGCTGAGAGTGTGGTTGGCACATGTTTCCTAGCCAGGACGGGCAACATCATCAGGGCGACTTTGATGAAGCGTCAGTCCTCAGTGTAACGGGATTCATACTTCTGCTCGGAGGTTTTGATTCACAGTTCGCCTCCCTTCAATTGCATTAGTCGATTGGGTTTGCTTGTCACGATTGGATTGGTGAGTTTGAAGTTGGTCAAAGAGAGCGAATAGACCAATAAACAAAAGCAGTGGTCACCGTGAAATTAACCTAATCAATGGAACCGCAGCAAGTAGACACCATTGACCAATTGGATGAAAGAAACACAAACATCTAATCAGAACCTTGGAAGATAACTACAAAGGTCCGGTCACAGTCTCGAAGTCGCACTGATGATGTTGCCTAGACTGGCTAAGAAACATATGGAAACAATACTTCCGGCTCGGAGAACCCTCCAGCATCAAAAAACAACAATTTTTCTTCTCGGTGGGGCATGTGTAATGTTCAATTTTAATCGGCTGATAAGTTCGAACAAGTTCTGCAAATAATCTAACTGAGAAATGAACATAAGCTTCAGTAAAACTCGAACTCTCTCATAGACACCACCGTTGTTCTTATAGCTATATCACATTGATCGTTCTGATCATTTCATATCTAGTTATTTACTCCATTCACCGGGTCTGATGGCTACAGGGGATGGCGACATTTAATTTTCACTGACCATCCTTCAGACCTAATCTTCACACATAAGCCTCAGTGTATCCAGTTAGTCTTACTATTCGAGTTTCGTTCTTTTCTGCTGGATGAATTTTTGACTGAGAGTAAAAATGACAGACCATCAGTAAAATTCACTACCCTTGTTTCGCATTTGTTACTGCCTATTCAACTCATTCACCTAATCGCACCTATCATAAA